GGACTTCAGGAAGAGCCCCCTCACCATACTTGGCAGCACTGTATCAGCAGTAAAGTCCTACAAGTTCCTGGGCTCCACTATCTCCCAGGACCTGAAGTGGACGTCCAACATCAGGACCATCATCAAGAAGGCACAGCAGAGGATGTACTTCCTGCACCAGCTCAGGAAGTTTGACCTGCCCCAGGAGCTGCTGATACAGTTCTACAGAGGAATCATCAAGTCTGTTCTCTGCACCTCAGTCACTGTCTGGTTTGGCTCAGCAACCAAACAGGACAGGAACAGACTTCAGCAGACAGTCAGGACTGTAGAAAAGGTTATTGGTGCACGCCTGCCTTCCATGGAGGACCTGTACATGTCACGGGTCAAAAGGAGAGTGGAGAGGATCAGTGCAGACCCCCTCACACCTGGGACATAATCTGTTCGAACTTCTTCCCTCTGGACGGTGTTACAGGTCACTGTGCACCAAGACAACCAGGCACAAGGACAGTTTCTTCCCCCCGGGCCATGACTCTGATGAACACTTGACCCATGAGAGTATGACTGGACAATAACCATCAGTGCAATACCTGTAAATATACATTATACAGATTATACAGATCAGGTCTCTATTTTTTAAGTACTCTATTTTTATTCTTATTTATCTCGCTTCACAATGAACATTCCTTTGTTTGTCTGCATTGTTTACTGCCTGTTTATACTGTTTATTTCGCATTGTTTGTTTCTTGTTAGTACTGTTTATTTTGTTATACACAGCCTTATGTTGGTTTACTGTTTACTTGCCCCTTGCGTAGGGATATATACATGCACATTGAGAGCCGCTGTACCAGAGTCAAATTCCTTTGTGTGTCTGACACACCTGGCCAGTAAAGCAGATTCTGATTCTGATTCTGAGGCTGGTGAATTTGTCTAAAACATTATCTTTAACTTGTCCTCACCACATCCTTTAACAAAGTTTTTTCACTGAATTGTAGACACATCTGTGCTCTTCCTGACAGTTTAACTGTGGAAGCAAATGAATTCATAGTGAGCTGCACAGTGAGCTGCAGAGTGACACAAGGGCCAACCAACTGCCGCATTGACTCCTATGTAAACAGTATTGGGCAGGTGGTCATAATGTTATGGCTGAGTGGTGTAAATGGCAGGAGTAATTTCTACACTTTCACAGTGTGTAATTTACTGTATGAGGACAATATTATATTTACTGCGTACATTTCACAGTGTTCCATTCAGCTCTCTTTTCATGTTCCATCACTGTGAAATCATTTGTTAGAGTTTCACAGTTTTGCTGATGACCGTGTGTTATCACTAAAGCTGGCATTAGAAAGTCTGATAACATCTTGCCAATAGCTTTAAATCTTTGGAGACTTTAGTCTAGAACTCAACTCGTGAGAATAGACTGAATATGTCAAAGCCTAATCCTATCAGACATGTAAACAGGGGGAAAAAGCTTTAATAGTTTTTCATCTATTGGTTGGTTGTTTCTGTCTCATGCATCCTGAATACATACGTTACCACCTTTAACCTTAATTCTAGTGTATAAAATGGGCAGTACATTGTATGAGAAAACAGTAGTTTTGTGGTTATTTTGAAACAACCTGGTACTTATGATTAAATAAAAATAACCACAGTTCATCTGGTACCTGTAATTGCACTTTGACAATATGTGACAGTCAGATTAGTGTAGATGGACCACATACCTGCAGCCTTCAGATGCACTAAAGGGAGTTAATCAACTGAGAATGAAGGCCTTCATGCATCATTCACACCACTCAACCATAAGATTATGACCACCTGCCTAATACTGTGTACACAGGAGTCAGTGGGGCACTTGTGTCACTCTGCAGCTCACTGTGTATGTTCTATCAATCCAGTGATTATATATTCATTTTCTCCACCCTCTGTGATTGCTCTGTATGTTGAGATGTGTTTACTAGTTGATGAACATCAAAAGTGAAACAAACAAGCCAATCATGAATAAAAAGGGCTTGTGTGTGTGTGTGTGTGTGTGTGTGTTTTTTTTTCCACTATGTAGGTGTGTGTTTATGATGTACATGTAAGCCAGTAATCCTAGGAATTATTTCCATGTTTGGCAATTACTCACTCCAGGATTTACAGTCAATGTCTCTGCTCTGTACCACCATAGGAAGATCTGTGTGAAGTTGGCCCCCCATCCAACGCAAAATAAGGCCAAAATGGTGTCATCTGTTTGTGCTTCGTTTGTGCTTCGTTTGTGCTGCAAAAAGTTTCGTTTGTGCTGTTACGGTATTTGAGATATTAAACAATATCTTTAGCGGTCATCCACAGGTCACTCAGCCCCCTAGATAGCTCCAAATTGGACAAAAGTGGTGTTGTTCGTTTGTGCTTCGTTTGTGCTGGTTTGTGCTGCAAAAAGTTTAGTTTGTGCTGTTACGGTATTTGAGATATTACAGCTTTCAATTTCTGATGACGTCACTCAGCCCCCCAGATAGCTCCAAATTGGACAAAAGTGGTGTCGTTCGTTTGTGCTGGTTTGTGCTGCAAAAACTTTCGTTTGTGCTGTTACGGTATTTGAGATATTACAGCTTTCAATTTCTGATGACGTCACTCAGCCCCCCAGATAGCTCCAAATTGGACAAAAGTGGTGTCATTCGTTTGTGCTGGTTTGTGCTGCAAAAAGTTTCGTTTGTGCTGTTACGGTATTTGAGATATTACAGCTTTCATTCTTTGACCCATAAAATACATTTTCATATTCTGGCAGCATATTTTCACACAACAGGTCCAAAACACTGTAGTATTTTAGAATCTTTTCCACCAATGCGACTTGACATTGCAATGAAATTTAAAAAAAATAAAATAAACAACAGTGTTTTCCTGGTTTATTTTTTTACAAGGAGATGCACTTAATGTTACCAGTAGGGGGCGCCCAGAATGGTAAGTCAGCTTAAGATACACCTGTAGAAGAAATAGGGAAATATACTTTTTCCACACTGTGCTTCTCAGTGCTGCTACGACATCAAAAATCTGTGCAAAGTAAGTGGAATGTGTTAACACTAAGCTAATACAATATAGAGAATTAGTACTGCATTGAACTAAATCTTTCATTCACCATGTCATTCATTGTATAGGATATTGTGTGCAATTTTAGGTGCACACTTCACCTTTGTCTGAAAGTGATTTACATCAAATACAGAATTACATGTAATAACTGGTTAAAAATACAGTCATTAATACTAATTATATATTTTCTTCTTTAAACAAGATGCCCAAAAAAGCAGCAGTAGACAAGGATGCTATTTTGGAAGTTCTCTGCTCATCAAAAGAGGCCATATTAAAAAATGGCAACATAGCCACTCCTAATGCCAGTGTATGGACAGAGCTGAGTGAGC